GGCCGAGGATTAGAGCACAGAGGTGAGAAGATTATCGTCTGTATTCACGTGTTTTGTGACATGCGAACCTAATAGTTCGTTCTCAGACTATATTATCAAAAACTATAATGTGTACGCCAACTCGACGAGATAGAGAAAGAGAGAGGGGGGGGAGAGATAGGGTTTAACGTCCACTCGACACAAACCAGGTCATTTCGGGACAAACAAACGGTTCAATTTTTATTTCTATAATTCGTTCTTGCGCGTAGGAGTCTTTAGCAGTGGGAGGAAACCGGAGGACCCCGAGAAAACCCACTTACTCCTTGTGACATACAACCGGTGAATCGAAACCACACTAGTTCACTCAATGACAGACCTTATGATACAACGCGCACGTGCTACCAATTCGGCCATCCACCCCCCCCCCTACCAACTCGACGAATACATGCTACTATCATCGGGGTTTTCCGGTGTGGTTTTCCCCTGTCGGTAGTGCAGAACAGACATATAGACGTACACATTGCCGTACAAGTAAAAGATCTCTTGACAGTTGGAATTTGATAGAAGAATTTGATATCTAATGACATTCAATTACTTTTTAGAATTGTCCGATATCCTCTTACAGTCTCATATAACAACTTTTGGTCTTTGAAGGATTTATTAGTGAGCAGAAATTCTTCCATGTATCTGTTATCACTCGTCCCTCCAGTCAGTTATAGATAGAGATAACTCGTATTTTCCTTTTGCGTTCGTCACTTCCGATTGTTGAAACATTGATTACGCATCTATCGTAGCAAAGATCACTGTGATAAAATAATATTTGGAACGTGTTTAACCAGTCCTATCACATATGTGATAACGACTGGCTCCAATATTGTCCTTTAACAACGATAATTACAAATTTTAAAAACTTAATTTTAATTCCACTGTTTGATTGGACCAGCCACCCACACAAACATCACTCGACATCGATGAAATATCAGTTATATTCTATTTTTAATAAGTTCATGAAATACTAGTAGCAATATATATTTTTTTAATAATAAGATATTTATGTGGTGTTAATAAATATAAGATCTCATCACGATATTCACTGTGTATTATGTCATCGTATTACCGATGTTATTGGCGGGAGATCCTTGTCACCTGTCAGGTTACCTGAATCATATGACGTAATCGCATCCTTGAAGTTAATTAAGTTAATTAATTATTCATGAAATGTACACCTATAAATATTTATATCTTCCGATATCGTCAGTGGTGTGGGTGGTATTAGACCATCCAGTAATGTGACACAACTTCTTTATATCTTCCGACATTGCCAGTGGTGGAGGTGGTATAAGACCATCCAGTCTTTATAACCAATTTATTTATACGTGGGTCCCCTCAAATTTCGGGACTAATATATATATGGTTCAATTTTATTTAAATAATTCGCTTGCGCGTAGTGGTCTTTAGCAGTGGGAGGAAACCGGAGGACCCGGAGAAAACCCACAAGGTTGGACAGGCGACCCTACTACTTCTCACATATAACCGGGGAATCGAAACCACGCCAGTTGACTCAATGGCAGACCTTATAATACAACGCACACGCGCTCACTATTCAGCTCCCCCCCCCCCCCCGTCCCCGACTTTGCAATGAAATGGTGTTTAGCGTCTTTCTGCTCTGACTGGGTTTATAAAACGAGAAAGCTTATCAATTTGTCTGGAGTGAATTTTATAGAAACAAGAGGACAATTCCCCAGATTTAAGTTGAACCAGTCTAGTTTAAAACGTAAGACTTGACGGGGGGCCTGGTTAGGTCAGTGACCAAGTCCTTCGGGTTGTAAACATTCAGTGTACACGTTCGATTGCACTAACAAGATAGAGAGAGAGAGACAGAAAGAGAAATGGGGTTTAACGTCCACTCAACACAAACTAGGTCATTTCGGGACTAGTACGAACAAGAACCGTTTCTAGGTGAAATCCGCAGGCCTTAGCGCCGCTGTCTAGGCAGCATTTCCCGTCCTATCACACAATATGACGTATGTCCGTTCGTGAAAAGAGGGGAATGGTTTAACGCGTGCACTTTAGATCACAAGGTCTGTTATTGAGTCAGGTGGTGAGGTTTCGATTCCCCGCTTGTACGTCCGGGTCCCCCTGTTATTGAGTCAGGTGGTGGGGTTTCGATTTCCCGCTTTACGTCCGGGTCCCCCTGTTTCCTCCCACTACTTAAGACCCCGAAACGCAAGCGAAGTCTTAAAATGAAATTGCTGCATCATGCTAATCCTTGAATGATTTTGTCTTTGTCCCGTGGACGTTAACCCCATTTCGCCCTCTGTGTCCTGTATGGTTTGTTTTGTCTTTTTTTACATGTGAAGTTATCCTGAATTGTCTACTGTCCAAACTCGTGGGTATTTCCGGATCCTCCGTTTTCCTCCCACTTCTAAAGAACCCTACGCGCAAGCGAATTATGGAAATAAAATTGGACGATATGTTAGTCCCGAAATGACCTAGTTTGTGTCGAGTGGACGTTAAACCCCATCTCTCTCTCTCTCTCTCTCTCTCTCTCTCTCTCTCTCTCTCTGTCTCTCTCTCCCTCTCTCTCTCTCTCTGTCTCTCTCTCTCTCTCTCTCTCTCTCTCCCTCTCTCTCTCTCTGTCTCTCTCTCCCTCTCTCTCTCTGTCTCTCTCTCCCTCTCTCTCTCTCTCCCCTCTCTCTCTCCCCCCCTCTCTCTCTCTCTCTCTCTCTCTCTCCCCTCTCTCTCTCTCCCCTCTATCTCTCTCTCTCTCTCTCTCCCTCTCTCTCTCTCTCTCCCCTCTCTCTCTCTCACTCTCTCCCCTCTCTCTCTCTCTCTCTCTCTCTCTCTCTCTCTCTGAATATTCTATTTGCAACCAACTAATTGATAAGTGTGCGATCACATGATCTGTATACGTACATCTGTTTATGAACGATAAACACAGAAACATGCCTGATTACTACACGAAATGTTATAATTTTGGCACGAAAATGTCTCATTTAGCTTTGAAAATTAACGCCCCCTTCCCAGCCTTCCCCCCGCCAATTTATAAGGTGACCATGACATTGAATCCAGCTGGCGCAGGAGATCAAAGTAAAGTAATGCGTATTTTCTTCATATGGCGACATAAGATAAGCACAACAATCGATTCGGACTTTTAACTTGTAACGAAAAAAAAACACTCTTAATTTAAACGGATTAATGCGGGGAGCCACGTCGTCGCTTCTGGAATAATGAAATGAAATGGGGTTTAAAGATCGACTGTTCTGCTCCTAACTGCGCTATTGAAGACGAGCATATGCGTACACCGGATCTAGGTTTTTCATCCCATCCGAACAACTATACATTGTACTTTGCCAGGGACTCTGTCCTTCATCACTGAAATGGGGGAACCGCGCAAGAAAATTCCGATGAACTTTCTCGGCCAACGTAGGGATCGCACACGGGATCTCCTGGTTAGCGAGTCAACGTCTTACTTACTGAACCACCGAGGCTCTCCCCGAAAGATAACATGTTGCAAAAATAATATCACTGTCTCTCAGACGACACGAACCAGCATAAATATTAGTCACTATACAAAATGAAGAGCCCCGGGGAAGAACGATATAAGTCACTTTTTCAACGAACCCCAGTTAATGGCGCCATCTGGTAGCAAATTGTATAAGCTTTCTGTGGAACAATCTATTTAAGGTAAAAACGACCGGAGTCACATCGAACCAAGGCCCTTCTGAAATGGACTCCCGGACAAATACAAGTTCATCGTACACTTTATTTAACCTTAATTCTGAAGTTATAATTAAACCCAATCGTTGTTCTGTTCGCGTCAAACATTATCGTCCAAAAGTCTGTTTTGCCTTTTATGCGAAAATAGAAAAATGTGACTTGGATCGTTCTTCCTCTGGACTCTTCAAATATATTTAAAATGTTCGCAATTAAACATTTCACGGTTCAATCCATGATAAAATGCACTCAATGGCCCTGGAGGAGAGAGAGAGAGAGAGGGAGAGGTAACGTCCACTCGACATAAACTAGGTCTTTTGTGGACTAACATATGGTTCAATTTTATTTCAATAATTCACTTGCGGCATATGGGTCTTTATTAGTGGGAGGAAACCGGAGAAACCGGAGATCCCACGAGTTTGTACTGGCGACCCTACTCCTTGTCACGTACAAACGGGGAATTGAAACCACGCCAGTTGATTCAATCACAATAACAGACAGACCTTATGATACAGCGCACACGCGCTAATCATCCCCCCCCCCCCAATGTCCTGGATGAAGATTACAACAAGCGGTTATCTTTGATAATTTCCCGTCGTTTTCATCGTTTCAGAGGATGTCGAATAGTAGGACATTTTCAACTCATCATATCTGTGTAAATTCTGAATGGAATTGAACCAGTTTTTGGACTGATCTTCCTTTAAGAGATTCAACTTCCACGATATTGTAATGTACACAGGATTCATCAATCACTCGTCCAGAGACTTTAATTCGGCTAGTGGAGTGGAAATGGCACCGGGTGTTTGGTAGCCACTTTAATAAACCCAGTGTAAAGCGAGATGAGACATTGACATATACAGAACTTTTTTTTAAGAAATGAAAAAGCACAAAAATAGTTTTCTGGCCACCGTCATTACAAATTAAAGCATCCGTCAACACTTGTTTAAAAAAAAAAAATGAAAACGCACTGTCATTACAAATTAACAACTTTGAAAATTATCCAAATATATTTTAGAAAACTCTCTTACAAAAATGACTTTTCATTTAATAAATCAACCCATCAGAAGACTAGCAAACATTACAAAATATTCACACAAAATTGAAGGGTATTAAATTATTATATATTTTTGTATTTTATGGTTTCGTAATGGGCGTGGTGTATGCACCACTAAACTTGTATGCGGAACATGTAGAAACATTAACAGAATAAAACACGCAACTTTTTAAAATACAATCCGTAAATCTGTACAGAAAAATATAATTCCGTCTCAGAAAATAAAACTAGAGAATTAAAACGACCTTACCTTCTAATTTCTCAAGTTATTTCGTTTCCTAAAAATACTATACAGTGATAGAATTTTATAGTAACCGGGTTAAAATTTGTAGTTATCCTGTGAACGGAATGCGTCAAGTTGATGCGTGGAATTGTCTTTTATAGCACAGTAAGGACAGCCCACGATACTTCTTCACCTTGGTTGTCGTGTGACTTACAGAACATCGTTAGCAATCAACTCGGATCGATATATATTAGCTGTGGAGTTTTATTGTTCGCTAAATATGTGAATAAAATACATGGCGATTATGTTTTCAAAACCCACCTCATATATTATTGGTTTTATAATTTATTGAGACAGGTATCCTTTGGGATTGATGTTGTTTATCGTATTTTGTGTTTTAAGGTTGTCATCGCATTTAACCTTTATGAGATTAACGCCCTTTTTTTTCCCTTGTAAAATGTTTATTCATAAAATTTAGATACATTATCATAATTGACACCACGATGTGTTTATATATAATACAATGAATTGGTTGAAAGGTGAGAAAGAGAGAGAGAGAAATGAGGTTTAACGTCCACTCGACGTTCAATTTTATTTCAATAATTCGCTCGCGCGTAGGAGTCTTTAGAAGTGGGAAAAAACCAGAGAACCCGGAGAAAATCGAAGAGGTTGGACAGGAGACCCTACTCCTTGTCACGTACAGCCGGGGAATCGAAACCACGCCAATTGACTCAATGACGTGCTAGCCATTCGATCATCCAACCCCATTGGTTGAAAGGACTGAAAAGTGCGTAACGTCATATTTTCTATTTGAAGATTAAATCTTGGAAACTGACATTGTATTTTGAGACTAACATCGTATCTTTTGGGACTAACATCGTAACTTTGATACTAAAATCGTATCTTTGAGATTAACATCAAATATTTTGAGACTAAAATCGTAACTTTTGTTACTAACATCGTATCTTTGATACTAAAATCGTATCTTTGATACTAAAATCGTATCTTTGATACTAAAATCGTATCTTTGAGATTAACATCAAATATTTTGAGACTAAAATCGTAACTTTTGTACATCGTATCTTTGATACCAAAATCGTATCTTTGAGACTAACATCAAATATTTTGAGACTAAAATCGTATTTTTTGAGACTGTATCAAATATTTTGGGACTAACATCGTATCGTTGATACTAAAATCGCATCTTGTTGACTAACATCAAATATTTTGAGACTAAAATCGTATTTTTTGAAATTGCATCAAATAATTTTGAGACTAAAATCGTATCTTTGAGACTAATATCGTATCTTTTGAGACTAACATCAAAAATTTGGAGACTAACGTCGCATCTGTTGAGACTCTCGTCGAACCTTTTTAGACTAATATCTTTTCATATTTACAGATAATACAAGAATTACAGTCGGTCCTAACCGGAAGCCAAACACAAAATCTTATGGAAGATTTAGACTAAACATGAGCCATAGCAATGGGGCCTTCCCTCTGTTGGGCCATACTAGAAACCCGTCATCATTACTCGAGTCGGTGCAGAACAGTTTGATGTTAGACCCCATTATATTTCATTTCGTAGTAGAAAATGTTTATCTACAAATGGCTATCTAAAAATAAAATGGACGTAGTATCGACGTTTAGCGCCCTTGGTAACCATCTTTACAGCGTTGTTAAAGGACAATATTGGTGTCAGTTCTATCACATATGAGATAATGACTGGCACCAATATTGTCCTTTAACAAGATAATGGGTCTTTAAACTAGGGCCGGATTATTACCTTTAAAGGCCCTAAACCGCAAACTATAAATACTAATATTTATTATTTTTGTATATCTACTTTTTCTCTTTTTTTATTTATTTATTTTTTTTTTGTTATTTTGGGTTCTGGTTTGGCTGCAACATTTGCATTCATGATCCATTATAAATCTGGCACTGGAAAAACAAAAACTCTGTCAGGCTCCTCTTACCTCGAGGCCTTAAGCACGTGCTTGTTTTTCTTAATGGTTGATCTAGGTTTGCTTGAAGCCCAAGATGGTTGACTTTATCCGACCTTGGTAACGATTTATATTTGATTGGTAAAAACCACATGGCCATTGTGGTTAATTCGGTGAATGTAAACAGAACTCTTCATGTTATTCTAAAAGTAATCTTAATAAAAATGTTGGGGTTTTATTTGATTTGTTGTAAAACATATGTCCGGTAGTGGTCAGTTCTATCATTTCGTTTGATTAGTTTTAACCTAGGTTTTAAGACTGGTCAACAGCGAGGTAGTAATCATGTTATTGTAATAATATCATCTGGTTTTTATCACCGGAAAATGATCTGAATATCATAAAAGTTTAGTTTTGTTTAGTCAACCTTAGAAAGTAAGATGCATGATGCTAAAGCTAAATCTGCATATTATAGCACGTCGAGCGATTGGGTGGCCGAATGATACGCGCTGTATCATAAGGTCTGTCATTGAGTCAACTAGCGTGGTTTCGATTCCCCGGTTGTACGTGACAAGGAGTAGGGCCGCCAGTCCAACCTCATGGCTTTTTCTCCGGGTCCTCCGGTTTCCTCCCACTGCTAAGGACCCCTACGCGCAAGCGAATTATTGAAATAAAATTAAACCATATGTCAGTCCCGAAATGATCTAGTTTGTGTCGTATGGACGATAAACCTCCATTCTCTTTCTTTAGCACGTCCTTTTGTTCGCCCCCCGCCCTCTATCTCCCTCCCTCTCTCTCTCTCTCTCTCTCTCTAACAAGTCCTTTTGTCTTTTTTGTCCGACTTATCGAATTTGTGGTTTAAGAGTTCGGGGTAACAACGCCTTCTATAAACCCTTTTGTTTATTCTTTAAAAATATATACTATTCAAAAAAAGTAGGGGATATTATGTAAGAGCTAAATCTGTCTATTAAATGTCTTTTTGTGGTTTCAAATGTTATATACATTTTTATTTAGAAATGTATTCACATTGAAAGGATTAGAACATTGTCGCCATTTATTGGAGACTTTATTTATTATTGTAGCTATGGTACTTGACAATCGATGCTACCTGCTCAAAATTTCGAACCTTCATAATATCGCTCAGAATAAAGAAATTTCGATGAAAGGATTTTTAATCTATTCATTTTTCATTATCCATGTTTGACCTATTATTAACAAGAATGTCCAGCTCTTTATCAAATAATATTGAAATAATAGTTTTGTTTTTGTGCTCTGAATATACCTGGAAGCTACACTATATAAGTACTCGTATGATAGGACTAAAGATACCATAAAAGGCGAGGTTTCTGACAAGGGCTTCTGTCTAGTCATTCGGGTGGGACGAACAATCGAGGTCCCGTGTACACATTGAGCAGGTCGTAGCCCCATAGCACACTGTATGGCGTATGCCCGTCTTCATTAGCCCAGTTGGTACAAGCAGTAGGACGTTAGGAAAAGCACATTTCATTTTATTTCACCATAATAATCGTGATGTAATTAGAATGACAGTATGATTAAATCCTTGTCCGTCTTCATTTGGTCAGTACAGTCGAGTAGGGTGTTAAACCCCGTTTTATTACATTTCATCATACAAAGTAATAATCCTGGTATGAGTATGATTAAATCTCTCGCTCGCTGGTCTGTTTATCTCCTGTTGGGGTTAACGTCTGCTTCCGTAATAAATATAAATAGATTTTATCGTGATCTCGGTTTTACCAACAGGATTTGTCGTGATTTGATCGATGAAGATTTCTCGATTATATCAGGCCTAATATAAAAAGGTAACTTATTAACTGATATACCAGGGCTGGCTGACAAGGATTGATTAATCAGGTTGACACAAACCTTTGCCACCAACAAGTACAATCATTAAATGAATCATAGACACAAGAACTGCAACTGTAGTGTTATTATTGTCTTGGTAACAGACCATCTTGTGAATCTGCACATTGAAATCACCCGAAATGGACAAACTGAACTATGCAGTTATCAAGTACTTGCAACTGAAAGGACAATCTGAATAAAAAATAGATCTATATTTCGTTTCGTTTTTTATACTTTCGATCTCCTACACTACATGAAGATCTGACCGGTTGTAGCGACAGGTCGCGTCAGGAGTCATACGAGCGGCTTTTGACCCTATGACGTCAGACATTTGATTAACCAATCAGCATTGATGTTACTAGTGGATTACACACAGTTCCATGCAAAACACGCCTAAAGCTCGACGTAACAGACCGTTTCATTGGCTAATCCCTCACACCATTCAGAACACATCAATGATAATAACTCGTCCAGACCCTAGTGTAGTAAAGTCAAGTAAAACGAAATTTTAAACTATAAAAACGAAACGAAATAGGATCTGTGTTTAACCAGATTGGTGAAAGGACTAACCCCAACACAGATACATGCCTACATGATCTCACTTCAAGGTATGGTGCTCCTTCCTCCTCCACAGTAATAAGCATGGCAGAGAGAGAGAGCCTTGGCGATAACCCGCGTCCTAGAAGGCCAGGAATAGCAACCATTCAAGAAAACATTACCCGCGTCCTGGAAAACCATGAATAGAAAACATTACAAGGGTGCATGCCATGGTGATGGCTGATCGACGATTGACCACTCGACATATTAGTATTTATAGTTTGCGGTTTAGGGCCTTTAAAGGTAATAATCCGGCCCTAGTTTAAAGACCCATTATCTTGTTAAAGGACAATATTGGTGCCAGTCATTATCTCATATGTGATAGAACTGGTTAAACACGTTCCAAATATAAATTTATCACAGAGATCATTGCAACGATTGACCACTCGACATATTGCCAGTGTTGTGGGCATCTCTCATGAGACGGTTGAGCACATTATCGCCAACAAGTTAGGAATAACAAAAGTTTCTGCAAGATGGTTGCAAAGCTCATGACTGTGGGTAAGAAACGTGTCAGGTTCCTGACGTCCCGTGACAATCTGTGCCGTTTTGAAGCAGGTCGTGATGAAGTTTTGGTCAGAGTTCGAACCATGGACGAGACCTGTTTTCAAAATTGAAAAAGGAACTAGCAGGTCGTCATTTTCCTAGTAATGATGACGTCATGTCAGCTGCGAACGACCTTTTTAGGGTGGCTGAAGAAATTTTCAGCCTGACCGGCATCCAGGCCTTGTAACATCGTTGGCAAACATTGTGTACACCTCGAA